TATCATGTTTTTACTATAAAAATAATATTTCACTCTCCAAAAAATAATAATAATGAATTCTTTTTTAAACATTAATTTTTAAATCAGTTTTCATCTTTTTTTAAAATTTTTTACTTCGGTAAAAAAAGCATGTTAAAATTAAATAGATTTATAACATAAAGCAAATGTTTAACTCTTAGACGAAATGTGATATCGGTGTCCCTTTTAATGTATTTTTTTTTTTCTGATGCTCTACTTGCAAGCAAAAATATATTTTGGTATTTTCTAATTATAAAAAAACAACCTAATAGCTACTGAAAAAATCTGTTATATTATCAGAGTTATATTTGTACTAAAATATAAAATCTCGAAAAAGTAAGTTTTTTTTTTCCACTCATGTTCAGAAATTTATCAAGAATTGATTTTGTAATTTCTAAAAAATTCAAGGATGAATAACTGAATTACTGTCTCTCTTACATCTAAATAACTGTAACTAAGTGCAAAGTTGAAAAATTATTATTTGGAAGTGAATCGTGTTTGGAATATTTTACCTTTAATGCAGAACAAGGCACAGGTGTTGAATTTTGTTCGTAGTCTAAAACTGTGAAATTATAAATAAAAAATCTCGAAATTGGAATGAAATTGATTAAATAGTGCTAATCACAAACACACCTTTAACTCATTGAATTTAAATTCTATTGCTTCATTTTTTCAGGCTGCAGATCTGCCTCTACCGCGTTGTACAGGGTTATTCATAATTCCCTCCGCCTGTAAACGCCATTTTTCTTTACTACAACTGACTGCAGTGGTACATGTTACTGCCATCTACCGGCGACTGATTAATTTAAAACTTGAATACTTTCGGAATAATTTCATATGTTCTTTTTTGCCATATTCGTCATCGTTTTTTTACTATAGCGCTTCGAAATCCCGGAGGGAATTATGAATAACCCTGTATATTGTTTACCAAAAACTTAAAATTACCGAACTAATTACCAATTGTTAAAGGTTTTTTTCTTCCTGTTAACCTAAATGTACGATTCATCATCCTGTGATTTATAGATGAATAACCTAAAGAGAATTAGTACAGTGTCTTCCTAGGGAAATTTGGTTAAAATTTCAGTTTTCTATCTCATTAAAAGTTTTAATATGTCATTGTTTTTAAAAAAAGTACATTTATTTCTTTTTGCTGATACGAAAAATGATAACATTTTATGCAAAAATTATTTCAAAACAAACAGGTGAAATATTTTGTAACACAAATTATACTTTTGCCTGCTCAATTTGTTCATATTTATTCGATGCTTTAAGAAGCTAACAGCATGCTTTGAAACTTAGGAAAGAATTTTGAAACAAATGAAAATCAAAAACTGAACTTAGTTTGTTGGAGTAACACATGTATCTCTTTATTTCCCATTTGCCCTTTTGGCAATTTGTTTATTTTGCTATGCAACAGAAACTTTCGTAATTTGTCCTTAATCAGTTGTAAGATAATATATAAAACTGATAAAAAATTTTTTTTCAAAATTGCAAATTCTCGTTGCTTGAAAAGCATTTTAGTTCAAGGTAATAGAGAAAGTTTTGATAGGAATTATCATGCAATCGGTTTTTAAGTTCAGTTGTTGTTGATTATCATTTCAGTTCGCATGCACTGATGAGTTTCCTACTTATTGTTTGACGTCTATAGTTTAAATTCCACGATCCAAATTGAAAGTGAAATAAATGCTTTTGTGAACATTTTGTAGAGTAAGAATTAAAGTTTGATAGAAAACTTTTGCATAGAAGAATTGTAATTATCATTGTTATTGTATCAAATGTTCCAAAAATGACCGAAGATTTGAAAGAAAAATGAAAAGAGATAGAAATATATCGTTGACTGCGTCCTGCTTAGAAAACTAGATAATTTATTCTCACAAGGTTTTAACGACCAACAGTTAAGACTGCTAATTTGAGGACAGAAAAACTATAAAACAATGCGTTCTATTTCATGTCAGATTATCCAAGCCGAAATATCCCCGGCTTTGCCATATTGCCAACAAAAACTGACAGTTGTATTGAAAGCATAGTCTTATAATTTCTCTTAGTTATAAGTTGCTTATGTAGATAATCTTTGCAACTAATATTGCAAGTTGTAGTGTATAATTATTCCGTTTCCTACGCAGAACGCAGAAAATAAAGTATTTATATTTCTTCCGTTTTTTTTATTAGATTTTCTTTAGAAATCGTTTTCAATTTTTGAAATATACATTTGAATGTTGGAATTCGAAAGCATTACTGCAGCGAAGTCGCTGTCACACAGCTGGTGGAGAGCTGGGTATCGTGAGTTCGATCTTTGGAGCCGACTAAACAACCAGTGTGTGTAGATGCGCACAGCCAGGTACACGTTATGATAATCTGGATTAAAAAATATTTTTGATTTCAAAACATTTGATATCATATTGTTCCTTTAGCATGCACAATGTATCGGTATTATTGTGACAGTTGAAGAAATAAAATAATTTTTCTAATCAAACTCCTTTCAATTGTTAGAATTAAGAATTTTCCATTAATTGTAGTGTTTCGTTATTAAAAGTTGAGAAAAAGTTCGCTATAAGTTTAATTTAAAAGCATTATGAGTTATAAAAATCAGTTATGTTTTTTTTTTAAAATTCGATTTATTGTCACAATTTTTTTTCTATAACTTGATTAACTATTCGATATTTCCCTTAGAATATTGGTTATTTATTTGTATCTGACGTACTTATTGTTATATTGAGAAGTTGCTGGGGAAATTAATATGTTAGAAAGAATAAGTTTGTTACTTTTGGCATTATGACAAGAATGATAAAAGCCAATATTCTCTTAGCTTCGGACATTATATTTGTTTTTCCGCTGTTATTTGATTACTCATATGCTTTTATTTGACTGGAAATAATGGAGAAACTAAGCAGAAAATAACATAATATAGAGTAATAATACGAGATTATAACGGGTTTCAAAATAATTCCGATTCAATAATATAGGGAATCAATAAGGAAAATTGAAAGTTATGTCGATAAAACCTGCGAAAATAATAAACGTCTAAAAAAGAATAACATTACTTATAATAGATTTATCATTTTCTATTGAAATTGACAATCATGAAAGTTTAGCAGTGTTGATGTGAATCGTTTTTTTTTAACGAAATTGTTCATTCGTTATTTATTTCTAAACATTTTTCTCATTAAGAAGTAATGTCATTTTAACAATCCAGGATGATTTATTTTGTTTATATTGCTTTAAGATTATGAACTTTAAGCGTGTAACATGTCAAGAGGGCTTATTTTTAAACATCTTACATTTATTTTCTTTTGAAACTAGTGTTGTAGATTCGATATGGAGTTTAGCTCATAAATGTTATCCTAAAGCAACACGAAGTTAAACGTTCAACCAATTTTAAGCGTTCAACCATTTTTCTTGGATACTTCAACCAGAACAGGATAAGCAACTTTTTTTTAACTGAAGAGTCTGAAATTTGATGAAGTTATATTCTGAGAGCCAAGACTATTTTCTGTTTCTTATTTCAATTATTTTCTGAATATTTCACTGAGAATTACAGTATTTTTTATTACTAAAAAACTCCACCATCTGCTTGCTTCGCTTACTAACCTCCATGATTGCTTCTAACTTAATTCTGTTTTTTCATTCTTTTCTTCCTCGAAAAAAGTGGATATCTTCCATAAAAACAACTTTTTGTTAGTAAATGTGTAACTATTATAATTTTGTGTACGACCATTTTGTTAATGTGTATAAATCATTACAAAAATAATGACTTCCTGGTTTTGAAAAATATTTAAAGGTTCAAGAAAAAGAATTAGATTTAGGAATACAGATTGGTTGATTTATTGAGAAGGAGTCAAGGAGAAGTAATTTTACTTGTTTATGAGTTTTGTGTATTATTGTAATATATAATTGTGACATTTCAAATAGGAACTGGTTTTCTCTTTCCTGAACTAAAATTTTTATATATTTAAAAACTGTAATATAAATATTAAGATTTATTTCTGGCAGCTCCTGATCATTTTAACACTTTTTATTTTTTTGACTACTTTCGATATTAACTCAAGTGCGAGCTTATAAAATAAATATCTCGAGAGAGATAAATGCATTTTCCTACAACAATGGATTAATCGTCATGATTTAGAGAAAAGATTTGAGAAAGACACTTAAAACTTTAATGGCAATAACTTTTGAAAAAATTGCAATAAATTTTATAGCAATAACTTTGGAAAATTTGAGATTTCGAAAAACTTTCCAGTTAGTTTACAAGACCCTTTATTGCAAATCAAATTTCAACTCAGTAGATGTATTCATGCGGGCTGTAGAACAGTCTGTATGATATTTTTTACAACAAATTTTGTCAATAAATAATTCTCGAACTAATTATCAAATGTTAATCTTTTCCATTTCAGTGACTTTATCGAATTTGCTCAGAAGTTTTATCGATTTTGCCCAGTAAAACAAGATGTAACGTAAAATAGAAAGCTAAGACAGGTGTCATTTATAACTTTTTAATATCAAGAGATGTTCTTTTCATTCAAATATGTATATTTTCTTTCATATCCTTTCTTTTATATTCGTTGTTTATGCACAGACATTTTGAAAAACATTGATCATATTTTAACACCGTACAAATTTGCTTGAAAAAAAATAAATTGAAGAAACATTTTTTTTACTATTGACGAAATTCGTTTTATTGAAGATGTGACGATAGTTATTTCGTCACTGACGAAATGCTCGTTCGGAGCATATATCCGGAAATTATTTCGTCAAAAACAGAGAAAGTTTCGCGATATTTGAGTATCCATTTTTTATAGTGCATTGTATATGGTTCAAGGCAGCAATATCCCGGTTTAAATTTTTCTGAGAGAATACCAGCCGAGTTATTGTAGATAGTGCGAAATTGTGTGGATTGAGTTATCTTTGAATAGAAGTGAAGAAATTTTTATCAGCTATAAGAGTTCATTGTCACTCGTCCTTATTAAACAAAGCCTAATGGAATAAATATTTCTTCATAACTTCGCATGGCAGATTGTTTTCGCTTACATTTTTTAAGTTCTTCTGTACTTACTATCCTCCGACAGAAGATAAGAAAAAAGTTATATTTAATAGGTTATGTATAGATAATTCTTTAATCAGATTTGATAATATTAAACACATATTATAATTCAAAATTTCGTTTTATTTATATAAATCTAGTTGTCGTTTCGGATATGTTTTGAAAAAAACTATTTAATAGCATTTAACTTTTCTTTATTTCCAGAAAAATATATTTTGGATTTTAATATAAATTATTTTCAGTGAACTTCATATTATTGTCATCAGCATTTTTGAAGGAAAAAAAAGAGTAAGTAGGTTTTGTAATATTTTTTCGGTTTGGTAGTCGATTTTTGTTAGTTATAGCATATTCTATGTAAATTTATTTAGTTGATTGATTTTTTAATGAAATTTCTTTATGATGAAGAAAAATAACATTTAAAAGTTTAGCTAAAATTAATTTACGATCTTGTGGTGTGAATGGCGGGAGAAAATGTTTCAGTAAATGGGCAAAATTTCAGAAATAAATAAATAAATAAAAAACGTATTTGTTGGTAACGAAACATAAAATTATTATTGATCAATATTATTCAGTCCATCGTAGCTATCTAATAAAAAAATTCTTGATTATCAGTTCGCGTGAAATTTTAGTTCATCAGTGCTGATTAAAATAACTCTTGTAATATATATTAAGTCAAGTCAGAAATACATTCCATATTAAAAACACAGCAAAAGAGATGTAATAGAATATTTACATTTAATTACACTAATGAAAGAATTTAGTCTTAAAATGAAGAGTGAATGTTGTTATCTCAGGGAGAAAAAACAACTAGCACAGATCTTACTGGTAATTTGGGGGGGGGGGGGGGAAAAGGGGACAAAACATCAATAACAACCGTGGGGCTCTAATAATAGTGCTTCTCTCAAATAAATCTGAATCATTGAGTTGTGTGATTTTTTATATTGAGTAGTAGCTAACATTAGAAAATACCCACATCTATTGAATATTTTGTAATACTTCCAGCCATTTAATATAAAGCACATTTTGGAAAGTTGTGTGTAAGGATTTTCAGTACGTTTTATATAGCGGCTGTGGTAACCTAGTTATTAGAGAATCAGACTTCGGTCAGGAGGTGTCGGGGTTCGATCCTCGACTCCGCTAAGACAGTACATGTAATATACGTGGGGGAAAAATTGGTTACGGAATCGAAAGTTCTGTGGTCAGTCGTTGAGGAGTACCATAGATACAGAGATCTGGAGAAATATCCCCCCCCTCTCTTCAGATCTATGTCTAAATGGTGGAAGCAGCATCGTGAATGAGTGGTGCTGTCATCTGTCCTTAGAATTTTGACTTAAGATGTACTTTCATAATTGCGGTGCTCTCTTGTCAAACGAAAGGCGCACCTTCCCGAATTGCGAATTGCAAAAGACTAATCGCTGGTGAACTTGCTTGTCCGAGAACCATTAGAAACAACAATAGGTTTTAAATCCTTTGTAATTGTTTAGATTTAATTATGAATAAATAAATAAATAAATATATAAATTGAACAGGCCTATACTTTAAAATTAATTAGATATGAATACGAAAAGTCTCCCTATTTAAAAAAAAAGAACTCATACTTTCAGGAACATATTTATTGGCAACACGTACAGCAATGTTTCATCTATTTTTCAACATAGCCACCACCAGAATTGAGACTTTTGTCTATCGTGGGATCAACTTTTGTATCCCTCTGTCGTAAAACTCTGCCGCCACGGAACCAGCGTGTGACAGACGTCTTCTACTCTTCGTCTTTGCCAAAGATTAGAGAAGAAAAGATTAGAGATTCTGCCAAAGAAAGAGCAAGATCAGGACTGTAGGGTGGATGATCAAACAACTCCGAGCCAAATTTCGTCAAAACAGCTGCTGTGCGTCGAGCTGTATATGGACGAGCCTTGTCATGGGGGAGCACAACACCTGCAGTAAGCATTCCACGCCTCTTGTTTTGAATTTCCGCAGTGTTTCACAGTAACAGCCAGTGTTTACTGTTTCACCACGTGGTTCCATTCACAGGCGGCAGAGTTCTACGACAGAGGGAAAAAAAATTTGATCCCATGATACGACAAGTGTCTCAATTCTGGTGGTGGCCATGTTGAAGAATAGCTGAAACATTGCTGTACTTGTTGCCAATAAATATGTTGCTGAAAGTATGAGTTTCTTTTTTTAAAAAAAATAGGGAAATTTACTTTCTGGATGCGCCTCGACATTAAACATTAATACAGTTCATTCTTCGTACATAAAATAAGATCTACAATTCGACCGTTTGTACAAATCTATTGTAATTTCAAGAATTTTATATTAGTATATTTCCTCATCTTTGAATTCGTATTTGCAGCTGAAAAGATAAACGATGAAAATTCCCACAGCTATCCTCTTGAAATGTCCTCGAGGAGAAGCCTTGTCCAGCGTTCTCGCATGCTCCCGAGGACGGGAAGCGATTCGAGACCAATCCAGTTTCTTTGCTGACTCAGTTTCACCAGAAGCACTGAGCAGGGCTCGGCCTTTGACAGAGATGCCAGGACCGAAAGAGTTGCCTTTCCTCGGAAACATACATCGATATCTGCCGATCACTGGTATAGACTTCTATTTTCAATGAAATCTTAAGTATTTTTAAGAAACAAAGAATGTAACTCAAGTGTCTACCGTTAATTTATGTAAATAGTATCCATCATAGAATAATTATGTGTTAAAAAAAATTAGTATACTTTATTCCGGATATGAAAATATATACTTTTAAATGATGGGACCGGGATGGATCAGGGGTAAGATCACTTGTTCGTCTCTCAACAAGGTTATCCAGATTAGATTTCGAGTGATAGCTGATCGACTGTTGTCCTGCTTCTGGGTCTTGCTGGCCACAGTCTTGACTGCTCCAGTGGTAAATGGATTATGGGTTAGAATCTTTTGGAAATCGGGCTGACAGTGGGAGGATTTTCTAATATTTTAACGCAAATGAGAATTAATTTCCTCAAAAAGTCGTCCCTGACAGCGAGATTGTCAACATTTCCTTCGTCCTTTGCGTAGGATTAAAATTTGTCAAGAATATCGATTTGAACATTGACTTTCGCAATTCTGAAGTAAATCTGCTGTTAAACAATAGACAAAAATACTTTAAATATATCACTAACTTAATTTATCGTCTGCACTAATTAATTAGCATATTTGAGGTCACCCCCTCGAACCATTAAGAATGAGTCCTAGAACGTGAAGATCCGATCATTTGATTAAAAGTTATTCATGGTGGTCCGTTTTTTTATTTTTCACTCTGTGCAATGCAAAGAATTTAATTGTTGATATTATGAGAATAAAGGAAACTAGGTGAATTGTTTCTGAGCTGTAAATAAGACATTCGTTTAAGCTTCCCAGAAAATGCGACTGAAGTTTGATATAATCCTAACTCAGTATTGGTTATTCTAACTCCTTCAAAAGTTGAAGTTTGATTTCCCAGAAAATGACTCCGAAGTTTAATATAAACCTAACTCTGTATTGGTTACTGTAACACCTTCAAAAGTACTAATTTCGTAAAACCATTTCAAATCAATGATTAAAAAATTATGTAAAATCAAAGATTAATAAATGATGTAAATCAATCATTCATTTCAGTTCTCACTCAATATAAATATTCTGTCAGTAAAATCAGAAATTAATCTAATAGTTCAGTAAAATCAATAGTAAAAGAGAAAATTCCATTAGATATCTGGAAGTTCAATATCAACTTAATAGCTTGAAACTTTTTAGTTGATGTCAAGAAAATATTCCAAAATCTAAAAAAATGTCTGGAAAAAAAACCATAAAACAGAAATGAAAAAAAATTTCCCTCGTTTAATTAAAGGAAATGAATGATTTCTTACTGAAAACTATAAAAATAATGCTAGAGAGACATTAATTTTTATATTATTTCTTTATCTTGTTGAAATTAACAAAACTTCATTATTCGTATATCATTGCCCTTTTTAACGACGTTGGTAAATATATGAAAAATGTTAGCTATATATATTTTATGGATGTTTGTAATTGTTCAAAAACAAAAATTAACCAAGTCTTTTACGTTTATGTTCAAAAATTCTCGCTTTTATGCCTGATAATAAAATAATTTAAATTCTAACCCCGAAGTTAAAGAAAGCAATTTTCGGTTTTGGATCATTCTCGAAACAATTTTAATTAACTTGTCGAGTACATTGTCGGGTAAATTTTATGTCATTTATTTAGTTTAATATGTTTGCTCAGAAAAGAGTAAGGTAGAATGGTTTAAAATAAATTTACAGCATAATTAAAAAGAGAACGTTAACAATTCTATAAATTTGGGGGCATAATTTATCAAACTATGTAATTTTATGCTCATTTACGATTTTTTTAGAAAAAGACATACCATCAATACACTTATTAAAATATTATGAATATAAAGTATGATATGATTATTTTATGACATTTGAGTCGGTTCATATGATACAATTATGATTTTTCTTATCTACAAATTTAGAAAATTTATAGGAATCCAAATATAAATCATAACACAGTTACTTTTTTGCTGGAGTAAAATAACGTAAAATCAAAACAATGTTAAATGTAAAAATAAAAAAAGTTCTATCGTTTTCACACTATAAACTAGTTTCCGTCGACCCAGAACTGACAGACTGATTGAAAAATCCAAAAAAGGAAAATAGTAGGAACGCTTTGAGTTTTGCATAAGGAAACATTTAACTTGAAAACTAAATGCAGATTTAGTTCACAGCTTACATTGCTTATTTGAAAAACTCTAAAAAATATGTTTCTGCTGCATGCTTGACCATTCCAATTGCATGTTTGCTTGAGATAATGCTCATTTTGTCCTCAAATTGTATAACGCTCTTTGAGCAAATTGTGATTATTTTGCCAACATTGATTTTGTAGTTTTTTTCAGTTATCAGTGCCATCTATTGACGAACTTTACAACTAAATTTAGATTTGCAGAATAAGTTAAAACGTTTCCGAAGCATTTTTATCCTGTTCCAAATTTTTTAAATTGATTTTTCAAAACCAATTCCATCATCCCCAATTTCATCATTCTTATCGAAACAAGGTAGATGGTAAACCGAAGGAATAAGTATGGTTAAAACTACCAGAATATGATAAAATTCACATTGTTTCTAGCTCTATGGTAACACCAAAAATAAACTCAGACATTTTTATCAAAGCACTAAGGTGTCATGATAAAATTTGGTAATTTTATCATGACACCTGAGCATGGCATAAAGTCCAATTATTCGATTAAATTTACTTTTCATTTGTTTTTTTAAAAATATCTAGTAATTAGAACTAAAATTTTGGAAATCAGAATTTCCGCTTAATCATTTCCATATTGAATGGAAAAATGCTAAATGAAGAGTTTAAATGCTGTATATTTTGGTTTTTAAGAACAAAATTATGCTATTTTTTTCTTCTTAAATTAGAAATGTCATTACCATGCAGTATGGTAATTTTGCCAATTTTTTCTCTTTATATTTAATTACTAAAACATCAAAACGGTCATTTGAATTTTTTTAAAATTTGTACCTTTTAAGTTACTAACATCAAAAACACAATTCGAAACGCACTTGTGCTTCTTAAGTTAGATGTTTTTAATAGGTAATGCCGTTTGTCATTTAACTCATTGATAAAACTTTATCTGTTCCATCCAATGTATTAGGTGAATTCTCCATGAAAACATGGCACGAGGCTCAAGCATCGAAATTCAAAAAGTATGGTTCAATTGTAAGAGAACAAATAGTGCCTGGAGTTACTATGGTACATTTGTATGATCCAAAAGATATGGAAGCTGTTAGCAGAAATGAAGGTACTGTAGGGTTTAAGGTTTAAAAATTTTTTCTATGAATTTTATTTATCTATTTATTTTAAATGAGTTCAATCTATTTATCGCTTACGCAGGTATACATCCCAAGAGGGAGTTTTTTGTTGCCATGAGAAAAATACGGGAAGATAATAAAGAAGCTTATTCTTCTGTTGGAGTTGCAGCTGCGTAAGTAGAACAAAATTCAACAAATTAATTTGATTGTTAAATTTGTCTTTATATTTTTAAGAAATGGAATGAGAAGAGTTAACAATTCAATAGAAAGTTGTTGTTTCAAGTAATAAGTTACAAGTATAGAAAAATTTAGAGCAGGAAATCAGAATTTAAAATATTTTATATCGAATTAAACATCTATTGCTCATAATTTATTACCGAATAACTTATTTGTTTATTTTGTAATTATAGCTTACAATTATTTTAGTATTAATGTAATAGCTCTTAGTGCATTTTTTTGAAAATTTTATAATTTTAAAATGCTCAAAATGTTAATTATAGCATTGAAACAGGTTTCAATTGTTTTGAGAATGAACTGTTTGATTAATCTAAAGATCCTAGAACTGACTCACTTGAAACTTATTATTTTCTTCGGTTCTTAATTGTTTCATGATATTATTAAGGAATAGCTAGGATTATTTATTTTTCTGTGGAGTTATAGCTACTTAAACACTCTGTAAACAATTCCAGTTCAAATTAAAATTTAAAGTAGGGGCACTTTGGGTACATCATTCGTAAAATCTATTTTACTGTAAGATCCATTTTTACCGCAAAATATTATACCATAAATTTTACAGTAATATTTATTTAATGACATAAAAGTCAAGTTGGAACCCATCTATCTGAAAGAGGACAATATCACTATCTGAAAGAGGGCAATATTTCATTGAGAACTCAATGCTATAATTGCATGGATAAAGCAACTCTGGTAAAATTATCGAACTGTACGGTAAGGATATTTCTTACAAGGAAAACTCGATAGTTCTGGTTAAGAAAACCAAAATATACGGTATTTAATCCAATTTTGGAAAATTTTTCCTTTCATATAAAATAGTAATTGTTTACTGTAAATTATGGTTTTCAAAATTATCGTTCCTATTACCACACATGTAGAAAAAAATGCAAAACAAAAAAGCAAATTCATCCGGATAAATGGTTTACATGCCAGGCTCTAAAGAATCATGATAAAATTACCAGTTTTATCACATCTATCAAATTATATCACATAATATAAACCATATCTTATTGCTAATTTTACAAAAATCATTACTAAAGCGTTTCGGTAAAAATTATGAGCTTTTTGGTGTTCCCATAGAGCCAGAAACGCAATAAATTTTACTATATACAGGTAGTTTTGAACATACTTTTTTTTTCTCAGTGCTCTATGTCACCTCTAATTGAATTACGTACACTTGTTTCATTTTTCTTTACTAAGTTTTTTCGTCATGGCATTCAGGTTTGCTCGAATGAGTAATTATTAAAATATAATGTCCAAATACTGATTGATTTGAAACATTTTCCAGGAATGGAGAAGATTGGCATTACATGCGAACCCGTACACAAAGAGTTATGATGAGACCACAAATAATGAAAATGTATCTTCCACAAATTAATATCATAGCTGATGATCTCATCAGTAGGATACGCAAACTTCGTCAAGCTGACCATCAAGTTCCTATGTTGATAAACGAATTTTTCAAATGGGCATTGGAATGTGAGTAAAACGTTTCTTTACCAACATAGAATCATTTTTTATTTTTAATGATAATATTAGTGAGATATTTAGTCTCGGAAGAATATTTTAAGTAACATATATTTGTAAGTTTGAGAAATTCAGTTTTAGAGTGCTCATAAATATCAAGATTTATTTGTGAAACTATTTTCGATTGTTAACAAAATTCACTTAAAATTCTCTTCGATTAAGTTCTTCCTTAACGATATAATCTTGTGTAATTCGGCATGCATTTCCATAATCTAATACAAAAAATTGAGAATTCTTATAACAGTTCAATTTTTGAAAAAAAAAACAATTATTAAAAATTATTATTCGAATTAACATTTAAAATAAGTATTGATTGCCTGAAGATCTGTTTATTTTAAAATTATTTCGATTGTTAACAAAATTCACTTGAAACGCTCTTCAATTAAGTTCTTCCTTGACGATATAATCTTGTATATTCCGGGATGTATTTCCATAATCTAATACAAAAAATGGAGAATTCTTATAACAGTTCAATTTTGGAACAAAAACAATTATTAAAAATTATTATTCTAATTAACATTTAAAGAAAAGTAGGCTGCTCGCCTGAAGTTCCATTTATTTTAATATAATCTTCGATTGTTAAAAAAAATTTATAATCTTGCGTAATTCAGTATGTATTTCTATAATCTAATACAAAAAATGGAGAATTCATATTACAGTTCAATTTAGGAATAAAAATACTTATTTATGAATGTCGTAGGAACATTGAATAATTGGATTCTTTGAAAACAGTCGCCGTCATTTTGCAATGCACCGCACTAATTGATACGTCTCCACTATTTGCTATTCAGTCTGATAATTTTAGGCCTATAGTAATGAACTCACATATCATCAGGCTAATTAAGAACTATTAATATCATTGCTAAATTTATTTAATTTATTTCAGTCACTATGTAATAAATCTAAAATAGGAAAGGCTTTTGTAAATGGCCTTATTAAAGGTTTATTGCATTAAGCCCTAGCAAATTCAAACTGATTGAGAATTTTTTCTTACATTTCTAGCTATCCTGATGGTATATAGTCAGATTGTAATAGGCCTGAAAAATATGAGATGGATTTAAAAATACTGAAGACTTTTTCATTGCAAAATGCCAGCGACAGTTGCTCAGAGCCAAATTTTTTGCTCCATATGCATTCGAACAGTTTAAAATTCTTCTTATTGTAAAAACATTCAATTTAGGTTTGTTTTGTTTATTTCAGCTGTGACTTACATATTGTTCACTGAGCGCTTAGGCTGCCTTGATGACAATGTAACAGAAGATTCAATAACTCAAAAATATATTCAGTCTGTCAATGATTTCTTTCAGTTGTCAGCCAAAGTGGAACTTTCAACATTTCCTATTTGGCGAGCTTACCCCTCTCTCTCACCCTCTTACAAAAAGTTGAAACAGGTTCATGACTTTTTCTTCAAGTACGTTAAAATTATTCTTTATTATTATTACAAGGGCTTTTTTTTTATCATTACCTATATTGTTTTCTTTTCATTTTAGGAATTTTTTTAGTAATAATGCTTGAAATATTTTACTCAATCTCAGTATTAAAAATCTCACTTTTGACGATTCAGCAATCCTTGAGTTATATTTCGTTAATTTTGAAAATCATTCGTCACGAAATCACGTAATTTGTGACGTAACGAGAGCTATCAAATATATGTCGGAAATATTTCCTCAACTCGAAATCTCATCGTAGTGCATTATGGGAGATTGTTAGCTAGAAGGACGAAACTAGGATGAAGGCTAGGCGATCAAAAAGAAAGTGAAGAAATATACAGACAGGGTTGTATGTTGGTTAAGTAGTTGGTCTTGTACCAGGAAGATGCATGATTCGAATCCAGCTTCGGGTTTAGTAATGAGTATGAACTAATTGGTGTAATTAACCTCTATTCTGTGTTTCTTGTGCTGTTAAGATGGCAATGATCCAGCTACATGTTGCACACGATCAAATGAGTTATTAGAAAAATAGATACAATAAGCACTACGAGTTTTCATTTTTTGTTTTCCTTTTTTTGTTGAAAAAAGTAGAATGAAGAAATATTTCTTTGCTATTGACGAAATTCGCTTCCTTAAGAAAGTGACGTCACTTTAGAGAAATATTTGTTCGAAGCAAATACCAGAAAACAGTGATATCAAAAACGAAGAAAGTTTAGTGAAATTCGAGAATTCATTTTTTGAAGTGTAGCATCGGTAAAAATTCTTAAAAAGGTCAATACAATTACAAGAGTAAAGTAAATACATTTAATGCACCACCGAAAAATTCTTAACAAAGTCAATACAACTACAAAGGTAAAGCATGAAGATTTTTTGAAAGAAGCACTGATAAAATATTTGCACATAACGCATAAAATGTTATGACATGTCATATTTTATTAAAAATAAATAAATAAATAAATAAAAGTTAGATTTAGAAAGTTATTATAAAACTTTGTGATTTACAGGGACATTTATTGAAATTTTGAAAGTTAATAAAAGTTTTTTTTTTAATTATTTTTTTTAAAGTTATATTTCTAGTAAATTTAGACAGATGGAGCTCCTTCCCAACATGTTATACAAAGTAATATAGATAAAAAATTATATTCACAAAAGGATAGTTGGAGCTAAAAATATTTAGTAAAGTAATTTAAAGAAGGCAATGTATTTGTGAAGCAACAGTTTTCTTACGAACTTCAAGAAATTTTTTTTAAGGTTTTTTTTTCTCTAATAATTAAAAGAAAGTTAATTCTAATAATTCTAATTTTCATTATAATTTACATAGATTAAATTTTATAACTTCTTGTTAGAAACATAAAAACGTTAATTAATCAATTACGATGAATATATGAGTAAAATCGCTTTTGGATGATATATTTATATCATCCAAAAATAAATAAATAATAATTATAATAAAATAAATAATAATTGATAATAATAAATATTTTTTAATAATAGTATAATAATTTTATAAATAAAATTTAATAATAAAATAAATAATAATTAATCTATAGATAAATTACTCAAGCAGAAAATTTTCTCATATTTGTATTAGAATTGAGACATTTAAGAAAATTTAAAGACAAAATTTGTAAATTTTAAATAATTTGAAGCATACATATTTTAAAAATATTTTTGTACACAAAATAAATTTTTCTTCAATGAAAAAATAAATGAAATAACGTAATTAACACACAAAAACTTTTGGTGATTAGGCCTTCTTTAGAATTTTATAAAAGCGTGAATAAACTTTTAATAAAATCACTAATTACATTAATTTATTATAACATGCTGTATAATGGTGATTTTTGAGAGATGATATAAAATAATTTGCTTGAAGAAACTTTTAAAATGACACATTACTTAAGAAAACATATTTAAACAGAAAATATATATGATTCATGTATTATATTTATAACTTTGTAGATTGATATTCAATGGAATTGTAAATTAAATTTTATATTCCTTAAAATCGAATGATGCAATAAAAAATATTTTTTTATTGAAAAATTACAAAGCTGTAGTTTTAGTTCTTACATAACGGAATACAAAGAAACTATCTGAAATTTAAATTAAGTTATTTCTTTAAAGCGCGTGACGAAAGTTAAAATCTTGTTTACTTGTATACATATTACACAGCCATTTACTTGTATACATATTACACAACCATAAAAATATTAATTTGCTTAAAATTCTATTTTTAATCACAGTTTTCAAACAAACTTTTGCGTTGCACATTTCTAAATTTTACTTAATCTTGTCCTTCTTTGAATAAATTACAAAATTACTAATAACTTTTCTAAATTTAGTATTGGTTTCTAATAGTTTTATTCCTTTTCTAATAGAACTAAAAAATATTTTTTTTTTATATTATAGTTTTGAGACCTTTAGATTTAAACTAACTACTAGTTTCAATTCGTTCTTATATTATAACCATTACAAAAAAATACGTTTTGTCTTCTTATTGTTATAATTGATAACACACATAAAATTATATTTTAGTAAAAGGAAAATATCTATTTTTTGAGACTTTACAAATTAAGAAAAAAGATATAATATTCTTATGCTTTACTGAAGCTTGTCAAAAATTTTTAACAAAGAAATATGCTATCTTGTTTTCTATATCTTCATTCAAAATAAATTTTTCGTATTGTATAGAGCAAATCCATATAATAACAATAAAAAGTTTCAAATATATGTGTTCAATGTATGCATTTTTTTTCAGAACTTGGAAACTTCTATTGAGAAGAGACATTGACCGGCTTTAAAAGCAAATACTAAAATGCAATAAAGGAAATATATGAGTCGATAAGAATAAACAAAATCGCTTCAGTTTGCTCAACGGTCAAAAAGAAAGATATGGCTCAAATATATGACTTTTTTTAGTATTTCTCACAGTAGAGAATATATTACCATATTTCCCAATATCATATTAAGCACGGCGCTCGAAAAAAGTTTGAGTCTAAACAAAACATTTTAATATTTTTGAAACTGTGAATTTCAGCAACTTTAGAATATTGCAGCGAATAGAAAATTTAAATGTACAAAAATATTTCAAAAATATTAAAAATTAAAACAATTTTTATACTCTAGAAATGTGGAGAGCTAGAAACATTTTTGAGTATTTTCTTTATGTGGCTGGGTGGCGTAGTTGGTTTGTCGTCAGCCTTCTGAGCCCAAGTCTGCGGGTTCGATCCACGGCCCAGACACCGGATTTTCGGGATGCAGAAAATCCTCAGAGGCCATGTCGTATGATTATGCGGCATGTAAAGATCCCTGGAGTGCCTTATTGGCTCTGGCATTTCCGGCAAAATTAAATTACTAGTGCACTTTAGCATCCAAATAGAGTGGTAGAAACTAGACGTCAAAATCCATCTAGTGTAGCAGAAACTAGACGTCCAAATTAACATGACCAACGGTATCTCACCCATTGTGGTGGTCCTGAAAGAGTGGATACTACCTCTGGAGAACGCACTAGGTCTGCTCATCGTCAAGACTGATTTTGCAGCTCACTGGAAATAAAAAAATAAAAAAAGTATTTTCTTTATAAAGATCTTGTTCTCTTTCTATAAATCTTAATTAAGCATTCTCAAACTTACGAATTAAAAAAATTTTTTTAATCGTTTTTTAGACTTATTTTAAATATTTAAAATTGAAATTTTTAGTTCATTTTCAATACTCTTAGTTTCTCCATTTTCATAGGTATCGTCCATTATAAAACTTCATAAATGATCGGTTGGGGTTTAGCTCTGTCTTTTTTAAACACCGAAAAAGAAACTGCGAAAGATGAGTGCAGCATGAGAATTTTGGTTTTAGAAATGTGTGCGGAGCATAATCTTGATGAAAAATGCATCCCTTAGATATTAGAAGATATGATTCTAGCAATAAGTTTTAAACCAAGAAGGCTGCTAACTTGAGCCTTGCTTTTTTGACTTTTTTTTTACTTTCTTTATTACCTTAGTATTTTTTCATTGTTTTTTTTAAAAAGCAAATAGTAATAATTTGCTTAAACTTAAATTACACCATATTATGAAAGTTCATTGTAGAGGCTGTGATCATTTCAATTAGTGGATTCGTACAGGTAGCATCATTGTAGTCTTAAGCATACTTTTGGCCGTTGCAAATACATCTTAATTTGGATATCATGTACGGATAATTATCTCAGAGAAATGAATAAAATTCGCTTTAGGAAAAAAATTAATGAAGTAAATGTTAAGAAGAATATGGCTAAATTCAAAAATATAAAAATAAAGAAAAGAAATCCCTTAAGGGGATCAAATTAAACATTCTCTTATATCGAGAATTTCTGTAAAGATTATTCAACGGTTTGGGACTGGGAGGCCCCAAACGCCCCTCTTCCAATCTTCACACCAATAATTCAAAATTCAACGATTAAGAATTGTTCCCAACGGACAGTTAGGAGCATGGAAGAGATCCAAGGTTGGTGAATTATCGAAGGATAACATAACCAAAAATAAAGCCAACCCCCATAATTAATATTAAATTTGAAAATAATTTGGCGAAAGCAAATCGCCAAAAAGACTGGGAGAATTAGTATAACCATGTAACTGAAACATATTTGTGGTAAGAAATAAGGAATAAAGAGTTATAAATAGATTTTTGTTTTCGATTTTGTTGCGACAGTGAATTAATGAGTCTTACATTAGCTTCGGAATAAAAAGTTAGCCGTTACATTGATTGTTAATAAAAGGATAAAATATTTTATATTCGCTTTTATAAATTAAAATAAAAATTTAATAATTGATTTAATTTAATTAAAACTCAGTTAAGAATAATTAAAGAAATAAGTTTAAGATATTAAAGAAATTTTAAAAACTCGGAAATATGTAATGCCTATTGTGGCATCACAGTCATCATAATTTAATATTTAAAAAACGTGGCAAAAATTAAAGTAAATAATTATAAAATCATTATAAAGCTAATAGATTACTGGTTTAGCATATAGTAAACATCATGAAGCGTTCTTATTCGGCCATTCTATTGGATGTGTTGTGTTGTTCTTATCTGTTTTAATGTTCTTAAGAAAAGAAATGGTAGTTACATTAAAATTTTTCTTCCCATATTAGCAATGCTTTGAATTACGTAAATAAAAGAATGTCATCCATTGATTCTAAGAATAGACAAGAAGATGATCAGATGTCGCTCATCGAGATGCTTCTTGAAACTTGTACGCCGAAAGACGCTAGCGTTATGGCGGTTGATGCTATGGCTGCTGGTATTGACACGGTAAAAATAATTTTTTTCCTTACAAAACATTAGTATTTTTTGCTTCCAGTAAATGGATAATTAAATTAAATTAATTAATTAGTTTAAAGCAGTTGTTTGAGTGGTAGAATTTTTATTAACTTTTAATGTTGTTTAATTCATAGACCTCGTTGACTCTATCATATGTTCTGTGGAATTTGGCAGCCAATCCATCGGTTCAAAAGAAACTACAGGAGGAAATCGATCGTGTTTTGCCAATTGGTGAACCCTTAACTGTAGAAGCTTTGAATCAAATGCCTTACATAAGGGCGTGTATTAAAGAAAGCATGAGGTAAGTGTTGTATTTTGATTTTGCTGTTTCTGAAGAGGAAACGTTATTTAATTGTGGAGGACAACGTATTGATTAATTAAGTTTCATTGAATGAAATTTCCTCTTTATAGATATCACAGTATCTGCACAACATATTCTTTCATATCTATGTTGCTGGACTTATTATTTTTTATTTTTCTTAATTTACGAACAATATATTCATTGGTATTCGAAAGTTAATGTAAAGTGCGAAAAAAAAGAAAAGAAAAAAAACACGGATCCTCCTGAGTAACTTTTGATCTAATGATCGGATTTTCACGCACTATCTTAATGGCTTGAGGGGATGACCTCTTATGTGTTAATTAATAAATGCAGATGATATTTTAAGTTACGAAATCAGACACAAAAACGTACTCTCTGTGAAAAAATATACCTTTTTTCGATAGATTCAAATAAAGGGGGGTAGTCGCAATCTGGGAAATATGATCTCAAAAATTTGATCAAGAGAGTGGTTCAAAGTTTGAAACCCTTAATGTTAATTTTACTTTTTGCGTATTTCTCTACATCTTGAGAACTTTTTAGGCGAATTGAAATTTTTTTTCGCACAATTATAAAATTCTTTTATCTAAAGATAATTCCATGCAAATGATAGCAAATATTTATCATTTTTATTCTTTTATTTAAGAATGGTTGGGAAAAATTTGAATTGTAACGCATAAAATTTTTTGCACCATTTTAAAGGGTGTAATTTTACATAGGAGCAAACAAACTTGAGAGAAATCGGTCGAATAGTTCCTGAAAAATCGAATTTTAAGTATTTGACTTTTTTGAAATGCAATTTCTCCCTCCGAACTATTTGACCAATTTCGCTAAAATTTTATGTTTCGCCATGTAAAATTAAATCCTTTAAAATGATGCAAAAAATTGTCCACCTCACGACTCAAAATATTTTTTGATCATTCTTAAATAAATAATAAAAACGAATAAATATGTACTGAAAGTAATTTTTTTTTCACTCGTTTATCTTTGGATAAAAGAATTTTATAATTGTGTTTAAAAATGTTTCAATTCGCTTTAAAACTATTCGAGATATAGCTAAATACGCAAAAAGTAAAATTAACATTAAGGGGTCCAAACGCTGAACCACTTTTCTTATCAAAGTATTGGGACCATATTTCCCAGATTGCTGCTATCCCCTATATTTTGGGTGTCAAAGCTTTGAATCCGCCGAATAAAAAGTATATTTACTCAGAGAAAGTACGTTTTGGTGTCTGATTTCTCAACTTAAAATACCGTCTGCACTAATTAATTAGCATATTTGAGGCTACCCCTTCAAAACCATTAAGAATGCGTCCTTGAACATGAACATCCGATCATTAGATCAAAAGTTATTGGGGGTGGTCCTTTTTTTATTTTGCGGACTGTACAACTTGTTATTATGAAAACAATTTAACACAGAAACAAGAAGCTTACATGAAATGTGTTCTAAACAGTTCGTTATTGAATGTTACATAGAAATGTTTATATATTCAAGCTAAAACATGACAACAAAAAAGTACACTAGACAGAAAAATCATTGTTTAAAAAAATAACACACTATAGTTTTATATGGAAAATTGAAGTGGAAGCATTACATGGAAACAAAAATCAGTTCTAGTAGGTAATCTGTCCATCCCTAATTATAATACATAGGTAGCATCGGTTTTCCATAATGCCAAAAACATTTTCAGTAAACGAAATGGGAAGCTGCGAAAAAACATGAAATATCCTTGTTTCAGCTTATATAACGATCGTGGAAGATGTTTCAAAGTAGCGATTTGTACTTCAAGGAAGCCTTCGATGTATTCAGATCTGCGTTATCATCCATTAAAATGAAGTTAATATTAATAAGAAGGGCATGCGGAGGGACAGCTGTGCACTGTATCAGGGATTTCGTTTCGATATCTATCTCCATACAAATGTTCCTTTTTGGAACACATATCAAAGAAGGAATATTCATTCAATGCTCCTTCTTGGACAGCTGTACGCTGTATCAGGGATTACGTTTCGATAGCTATCTCCATTCAGTGTTCCTTCTTGCAACACATGTAGATAACTGAGGGATCCCTGCCCTAATCTCCCTTCTGTGATTTGATAATTTTGGATTAGTTGTGTTTGGTGTCTTGTTACAATATGGAACAAGGTCTACGGGGTCTCTTGCCTAACATAAAACGGTGATTCTCTGTATCAATGACATACACAACTGGTCGTCTAGTATAGAGACCTTATTTTTGCAGGCGCTTTAGCACCAAGCCGTGGGGATTTATATCTCTGATACAGATACAAATGATCTGCAAGGAGGCACATTTAGTGTTTTCCATTCTTTGGAACGAAGGAGCTTGAAAACAGTCTTCTTAAGGAGCTGCTATTTACTCAAATTTGAGTAAAACTTAATCATGAAGTTACTCAAGTTTGATTTTTTCCCATTTTCTCTTACTCATATTAAGGTTTCCAATTCCTTATAAGCATACTTAATTGTGCAGGTGCCTTAGCAACGAGCCGTGGAGATTTATGTTTCTGATGCAGATACAAATGATCTGCAAGGAGGCACATTAGTGTTTTCCATTCTTTGGACCGAAGGAGCTTGAAAACAGTCTTCTTAAGGAGCTGTTACCTACTCAAACTTGAGTAAAACTTAATCATGAAGTTACTCAAGTTTGATTTTTTCCCATTTTCTCTAACTCAGATTAAGGTGGCTATTTCCTTAAAAGCATTAGTCCAATTTTTTAAAACAATTTGAACAACTTTTCATAAAGTAAAATTACTACGAATTTCATGTTAGTGCTAATTTTTAATTATGAGCTTCGAAAAACCTGTTTTAGTTTTTAGAGGTTTGTAGTTTACTAGAAATATTCAGCAAAGTTTCGTAAACTTCGATCTGTAAGCTTCGAATCCGTAAACTTTGATGTATATTAACGTTTAAGTTTTTTTTTTTCAAATTTAGTGCAAGGTAAACTATATAATCAACAAAATTTACTTAAACTTTAAAACGGTGACAAGGAGAACCATACTACTGTAAAATTTCTGAAGTTTGACTAATATGCATCAACTTAAAAGGATATATTATTCAATTGAATTCTACAGTAGGATTACAGTAGGTTAAGCATATTTGTACGATATTTGAGACAGTTTCGGCATTATAATATAATAGTGAATGTAATTTATTCTTTAAGTTAATAGTATCAATATCAATAATCAATAAATATCAATAATCAATCAATATCAATAGTATCAATCGGTCTAAATTAATGGCATCAATCGGTCTAAATTTATAGCATCGGTCTCTAAATTAATAGCATTCTCTAAATTAATAGTATAGTAACGCAAAAGTGTTTTCTTTCTACAAAGACAATTTATATTAACAAACGTGGAATTTGGTGCCATTTAAGAAAACTTTATGTTCATTGTCTTAATTTAAATATTTTTCACCTCGTGTTGCATGAAAATAATTTTAACATTAAAATATACAAGTAATTGAGATATTTTTATAAAAATTTTGCAGTTGTAAGAGGAAACTAATATTAAAAATTTCATCAAAGAATACTACAATAAATGATGGTAAAATACCAACTTTCTTTACCACAAAATAAATTTAAATGTTATGTTCAAGTCTGTCCGTTTCTATATGGAAAACTGCAGGCAGTGCTTTATACAATCAGAGTCAACTGATGCATATATTAGTGTTAGCAAAGCTTCACATGTTCCCTTAATGGAAAGTTCTTCAGTTTTTAGCTTTAGGCCACAATTACATGGATATCATCTGAATTTCAATTTGATAGAGTCTCAGTTACGTTTAACAGTTATTATAACAGTATAGTAATGAAATGGAATACAGAATTAGAAGCTATTATATACGAAACAATAGTCTCAATAAAGTTTGAGTCCAAAATTTAGTGGCTCTTAGACGAATCTTTATTTCAGTGATTCGAAAACGAAAATTTATTTTAAAGTTTGGAAATTGGGCGTTTATTTTAGACTTCTGATTTAGTGAAGATAGCTACTTAGGGCGAAAAAAGCTCATTCATGTATAATATAAAGTTTAAAGCATTGCACTAAGAGTTAAGGTTTTTCTTTTATTTTCGTTGTAAGGACAGATTGTGCAAAAGGACTTTCTTGGCTTCATTGCAGTTGCTGTAACAAAGCACACAATTAAATGTCAATAAAAATGCATAAAAAATAAATGTACTCATTGCTATTGTAGCCAAAAACTAGTATATAGTGTAGCAAAAAACTACACGCAGAAAAAGTATGGTCAAAATTACCAGATCATGGGTAAATTTACCGTGTTTCTGTCTCTATGGGAACACCAAAAAGCTCAATAATTTTTACTGAAATATTTTGGTAATGATTTTGGTAGAATCAACAATAGCATGGAGTTTTATTATGCGTGATAAGTTCAGGTACACGTGATAAAATTTAGTTATTTCATCATGATACCTCAGAGCATAGAATAAAAACTATTTATTCAGTTAAATTTACTTTTCAGTTTTGCATTTTTTAGTTCATGTGTGACAATAAGAGCTATAATTTTGAAAACCTGAATTTATGGTATACCGGATTATGGTATAATGGAAAAATTACCAAATGAACGTTTTAAATACCGCATATTTGGATTTTTATAACCAAAATTATGTTTTTTTTTTAAAATTATTTTTCTATTGGAGATGTCAATATTATACAGTGCGGTAATTTTAATTGAATTTCTTCCCCGTGTTGTACTTATTTTATTTTTTATTTCATTTAATAGTACATTGACTGTTTTAGTTTTACCTTATCGTATTTTGAAAAAATATTTACCAAATATTAAAAAAAAAAAATGTAATTCTGCGGTCATCTTCAATTTGCTTAGGTTTTATTAGAAGTTACCGCAAAACGCAATACTATACTATACTTCCCTGCATCGAAATTGCATATTTGCATTTTGATTTAATCTGTTGGATCAATCAAAGATAAGTTTAATTTAAAATTCACAGGGGATGGAATTAACGTTGCTTTGAAGCTTCATCACTAATATATGCAAATATTCTTTTTGCAGAGTAAAGAAACAGTGCAAAATAAAATATTAAAAAAGACTTTATTTTTCGTTGCAGGATGCACCCCACTGTCCAGGGAACTTCTAGAACTTTAGAGAAGGATATTGTATTGTCTGGTTACCGAGTACCAGCTAATGTAAGTAATATATTGTTTATAAGTAGTATATTGTTTATAAGTAGTATATACATAAATATACTTTTCGTCAACTTAACTTGACTTACGAAATTCTGGTAAATGTAAGTCAGTTATTTATAGATATGGTCTCTAAGATTGTTGTTCTCATTTAATACAATTAAAATGACCCACAGAAAATGATTAAAAAAAACAGACATATAGCACAATTGGTATTTATTGGCCGAAATTAATGATAAAGGCTCAAACAATTTTCAATGTAGTATATAGAAAAAATTTCAAATTTCAATTTGATTTTTTCATTTAGAATCACTTTTCAATAATCTCAGCCAAACTAACCTTTAAGCATTACAAGGCTTCGATAGCCGGTTTACACAATTTTTTAATGGTTTTAACATATGGAGATTTTTATCGCTAAGTTAGTTATTTTTTTGACTAAATAGGTTTTTTTATGCTAAATTAAATAATGCAAATTTAAGGAATTTTTATCTTTCTGATTAAGCTCTACAAAATTGATATCATTTTTATTAATTGAATATGTATTTGTTACCTCCTTATTTAACAAGATTATAAATAATAAAACGTGAACTATTTCATTGCGGTGCACAATATATACAAATTATACATATTGTATATAGAAGAACATATTATATGCTGTTGAAATTGCATGTAATACTATAAACTCGTACCTAATGTATATATATATATATATAT